AAAATATTACATAAAAACAAAAGTTATTAATGAAAAATGTAGTATTTGCTTGTGTAATAGTTTTAGATTGTGACATCCCTGCTTCAGTTGACATCTTCCAAAGACAAAGTAGGGAGGCAACCCATATCTATCCGGGCCTTAAAAAAACCCTACCTTTGGGACCAGCAGATGGCATAATGGTTACATCACTGGACTCTCACATAGTTAACCACAGTTCAAGTCTCAGACCTGCCTTAAAACTCCTGCTGTGTGTGTGCGTCTCCAAAATCCTGAAAGGAGAATGGAGGAAAAGGGATTGCGGCATCGCCATCCTCCCGGGAGTGATTTCTTACTTTGTTGTCTCTCTCTGGCAAGTGCATGCACCCTACAACAAAAATATCTCTTAAAAAAAATCCTACCATGGGGCCAGCAGGTGGAGTGGTGGTTAAGGTGCTGGCATTCCCACATGACTGACCACGGTTCAAGTCCTGGACCTGGTAACTTGCTTTCTCATTCTCCCTCCTTCCCTCTCTCTTTCTCTGTCAAAACACATGTGAAAAATATATAAATAAGTTAATTTAATTAAATAATTATTTTTTAAAAATCCTACCCTATTTAGATAATTCTACAAACATCTCAGGCAGTGGCACAATCACTGTGGCTTTTACATTAACTGTATAATGTATCTGAATATAGGAATTATGTGTATTAACTATTAACTTGAACAGCTGTGCATAGTTTTGTTAGAAATTATATGCCATATATACTTTAAACCTCAATTAAGACCATACCCTGAATAGACTAAATAAAGCGCTTAGGTATGATATCTTAGAGCCGAAATTTTTACTATCAGAATGCATTTCTAATGTATCAGCTCTGTAGTCTGATGGTTAAGGTTGGAATCCACATGGCTGATCACACAGTTCAAGTCTTAGACCAGCAGGATTAACAAGCATGCAAGTGAGCCCCAAATCCCAAAAGCAAGGAGAAGTGGAGAATAAGGATCGCACAGTAACTAATCCCTATGGGAAGTATTTTATTCCCTCTCTCTCACAAAATGACAATCAATACAGTGGCCCTCTAGTCACCCCTCTCCCCCAAAAAAGTCTCTGAAACAAACAGAATTTACACTAAAATTTGCTTTAAATAGCTTTTCAGGGAAACAGCTATATGTAAATGAGGTAAAAAGACAGAAAATGATGTTGTCATATAACCTTGAAATAAAAATTCTTCAAGGTAGGAGACATGTACATTCTGCAAGTGCTCTACTACCTGAAATACATATTTACATATACCGCAACACCTTAACATCTAAGTACTTAAAACACAGTGACTAATACTAATATCTTAGAACAGGGGTTGGTGGCCAGCAGATGATGTAGTGGTTAAGGCCCTGGACTTCCACATGGCTGGCCACAGTTCAAGTCCTGGACCTGTCTGCTTGAAACTCACACTTGGTGTGTGCGCATTCATGGCCAAAAGTCCAAGAATGGGTGAGAAGGGACTGCAGAGTGGCCATCCGCCAAGGAGTGATTTCTTACTTCCTATCTCTGTGGTGAGCACATGCACCATATAGCAAAAAACTCTCCAAAAGAAAGAACAGGAGCTGAAAAACATTTGGCTATGGGCCAAATGAAGGCATAAGCTGTCCTTGTAAATAAAGTTTTATTGGAACACAGCCCAAACATACTTTCCATGGTTGCTTTCATGCTACAACTGCAGTTAAGGACTTGTGACAGAATGTGTGGTCCACAAAGCAGAATATTTATAATTTGATCCTCTAAAGAAAACAGTATGTTGAACACTGTTTTAAAATAATCAGAACCAAGGATCTGACAAATTTATGTCTGGTCTAGAAGTTTATCTATCCTTAAGTAAGCTACTGAATAAAGCCAAAGAGTCAATGAATTCTTCTCCAAAACATCCAAATACAAACCCACATGGCAACATGCCTCTGCTAACTCATTTCAAAATCACAAACTTGCCAATCTTGACTAAAATTTAAGCTATGAGGACTGTCCTTGTGGCCTGGTGGCTAAGGGAGCCAGTTCAAGTCCTAGTCCCAGTTGCCTGGAGAACACTCAGGGCTCCTGTGCATACATGTCTCAAATCCCGACAGGATGGAGAACTGGAGGAAAAGGAACTGGCATGACCACACTCCACTGGTGGGTGCTTTCTCTCTCTCTCTCTCTCGCTCTCGCTCTCTCTGTCTCTCTCTAGTCAGCACCCATACCTTCTGTCAAATTTTTAAAGAAAATTAAATTTTGGACTAGCCAATGCTGAAGTGGTTAAGGTGGCTAGATCCCACATGGCCAAGTGTACAGTCCCAAGGCCTGAAAAATACACTGGGCATGTGTGCATGCAATGCTCCAAAATCCAAAAGGAAAAATGGTGAAGAAAGGATTACAACATGACCATCCTCCATGGGGGGGGGGTAGGTGTGCTTTCTCACTTTCCTTTTCTCTGTTTCTCTCTCCAGCTAATACATGTGCCCTCTAGCAACACTTAAATTTTTAAAATTTTATTATTATTTTAAAATGTTTCTATAGGGCACGTGTGCTCACCAGAGAGAAAGAGCGAAGGAAAGTGAGAAAGTAAGCTGCCAGGTCCAGGACTCAAATCATGGTTGGCCACGTGGGAGTCTACCACCTTAACCATCATGCCACCCTGGCTGGACCCCACAGCAAAACATTTTTTTAAGTTTCAAAAGCAAAGAGTAGGGGCCAGCAGGTAGCACAGTGGTTAAGGCACTAGACATTCCCACATGGTTGACCATGGTTTGAGTCCTGGACCTGGTGGCTTGCTTTCTCACTCCCCTCCCCAAACAAATTAAAATAAATGAATGAATAAATGAAATTAAAATAAATCTTTAAAAAAAGGGAAGGGTAAATTTAGTTCTCTTAACCTTTTATGGACTCTGTTACATCAATAGAAGCAACACACAAACTCACTGTACTTCAGTGTCACTTGTATTTAGTTCATCACCACCAGGAACTGCACTAGTTATTACTCTACTCTTTACACTGGTATTGCAGAACCCATACACATCCAACCAGTAAAATAAGTGGAACGCTGTCTTTATAAAAGTTTGTTTTCACTTGCCATGACACTGAATAAGATGGCCAAAAATCTTGCCTAGATATACTTAGCCTGTTCTAGTCTAAAAAGCCCAAAGCTGCTGTAGCATTAGTCATTTAAAAGAACTACACCTAAGTAAGTTCTATTGGACCTATATGCTATTCTTACAAGAGACTATTAAATGAACAATGATAATTCACTTTATCAACTAGTGAAACATTAAAACTGTCTTACATTTCTAAGTATCCATGAAGTAAATTTTGTTTTAATTTAGGTTATATTCTTTTTTATAATTATTATTTAATTTTAGCATTAACTTTTTTAACCATAGTGAATGAGAGACAGATTAGAGAGAGAATGCAAGCCACCAGGTCCAGGATTTTAACCACGGTCAACCATGTGGGAAGTCCAGTACCTTAACCGCCTCACTACCCACTGGCCCTATAACTGTATTATTTTTTATAACTAATTATGGCACTGTAAAGAGTAGGGTTGAGAAAACACAATTATTACTGATAAATAATAAACTAATATTGTTGTTCACTATAAAAATTATCCTGAAGAGGGCCGGCTCTGTGGCCCAGGAGTAATAGCACTATTCAAGGGAAACCAACTCCCCACACAGCAATTGCGATTGGAATCCCCAGCCCAGCCAGCCTGAAATACACAAGGCACACAAGGCGCAGGCAAATGCCCAAGATTGACCAGACTGGAGGACTATGGAAAGGAGATCGCCAGAGAATCCTCTTCACTCTCTCTCACACACACAGGCACTATATCATGAATAAGGGAAAAGATGACAATAAAATTATACTGAAACCTAGGCTCAAGGCTTAGTGGTTAAGGGAGTCGCTTCCCATATAGCTAACTGCGAGGTTCAATCCCACCTGGCAGTTTTAAAAAATATGTCAGGTCCTTCTGCGTGGGTGACCCCAACCCCAACACGATGGAGAATGGAGGGGAAAGGACTGCAGCGTGATGACATCCCATGGGGATGCTTTCTTCTCCCTCTGTCTCTCTGGCAAGTGCATGTGCACTCTGGCAAACTAACTAACTGGAATTATACTGAAGAATTGAGAAGTCTATCAGATAGATGATCAGCGATTTTTTTTTACACATTATCCCTAACAAAAGTGTGAGTCAATCATGAAAACCTATCAATAAAAGTCGATAAATTTACCAATTATGTTTCTCCAGTTAACCAAATAGGAGATAATACAGCTTCCTAAATAGTCCCTGCATGATACACGTGTACTTAAAGTAGTTCTTTCCCATAATGCTCAACCAAAGGTGTATCAAAAGTCTGATACCCTTGACAATACCAATGTAGTCTCAGGTCACAAACTGATATTAACATAAGCCCAAATGAAGCATTTAACAAGGCCGATGTAATTACTAAGTAATTAAGGTAAAAGAAGGTATTTTCCAATTACCGATATCACTTTCCCTTTGCTTTTTGGTGTTTCTCCTAGCAATTTTGAATTAAAAGAAAACAGGCAAAACATTTAAAAGCAGAAATCTAGTGACAACCAGTTCACCACGGATCACAAGATTTGCATGTAAGTCTCACTTTCTGTTTTTTAAAAAAGAAGTCATATCTTGATCCTATTTCTCACCTGCAGGGCACTCGCAAGACAAAGTCTCATAGAACCTTCAACTCTAAAGAATTTTCTCAAGGCCCAGTTTTCTCAAGAAGTTGATTTACGTGGGCAACCAATTTACGCGAGCAAGAATGGCAAATTACCACTAAGACTAGGACAAGCACGGGGCCTGATGATTAGAAAGCACCCCGATGAAAAAATGGAAACCCCGCCCAGCTTTCAACTTTCTCGGCCTTTCCTGTCCTGGTTTTCTCTTTGCAAAATCCAGGAAAACAGAACTTCCCCCTCACTGCTTCCCTCTGAGGCCTGATACAGAAATCTAGACCGCTAGTTTCCAAGTACCTCCTTAAAGTAGTCTTAAGGCTCAAGCCCGCTCAGAAACAGCAGAAAGGTTTGCTTTCGTGGGTTAAAGGAGGGCGATTACAGGGTTTGACGGCCGGGTTTGTCAGGAAGCGGAGGACCGAGGAAGAGGGAGAATCCAGAGACTGAGCTCCATCTAGTCCCAGGAACCACCCCCAGGGGAGGCTCGACTGCCCTCGGTACTTCCCTGCCTCCTCTGCTCTGGTGAGGAGAGCGGTGGGTCGGGGTCGGGCTCCCCTGAGCTACTTCCTGGTCCAAACGGACTCGCCTTCGGATACCCGAAACGCCCCCGGCCCGGCTCCCTCGCCCTTTGCCCGGTCTCCTCCTCTCTCAGTGACCCACCAGCACGGTCCCCTCCCATCTAACATGGCCGCCCCACCCGGCCCACCCCCGTCACAGCCTAACCAATTGGGG